TAATGGAATAGTTTAGGTTAGATGGGCTTCAGATTGGTTTCACAGGTCGGCGCATCATCGAGGGCCGAAGGGCCTGTACTGCACTGTAATGTTCTATGTTCTATGTTCGATGTTCTATATGAAATAGTCCCAAGCTTGTCTGGGGTGAGGAATCCTCCCTGCACAATGCACCCAACTGCCTTCACCTTCCATCTACACCAGTCCAGCTAATTACAAATGGACCCCTGTTTGAAGAAAGTGTAGTTTTATGGACAAGAGAAGTGTTGGCCATGGATCTACCTGCTACCTTTGCTGTGTGGATAAATATAGACTCTGGTTTAGGTACCTACAAGGAACAGCTTTTGCAAATCCTCAATGGTTTCTGTCGTTATATGTGCAAGTTGTAAAGAATATTCATGACAGTTGTTTTATGTCTTATTCCATAGAAGAGGAACCCCTGAAAACAGCTGACTTCTCGGGGGCCAAATACACTGATATCTTGATTTATGCTGCCACCTCTCTGGCCATCATCTTGTCAGTGGTCATTGTTATATTGTGCAGGATGCAGGCAAGGTCCACCAAGAGAGCTTTTGATCCACTCCCTGTGCAGAAACTCTCCAAGTTCCCTTTCAAAAGACAGGTAATTGAACTGCAAATAATAGTTTCCAGTGAAAATGAAGAAAAATGCAACTGTCTTTCGTGAATCTGTGGTAGCGAAGGATGTCATCTAGATTTTGAATGATAGATTTAGAGATATATTGGGATCATTTTAACACTGTGTTAAATCTTGGACTTTGCCCCAGTACATCAGTCAACAGCATTAAACAATGCCTCCAAATGAGCAACTACAAAAATGCAGAAATACTTCATTTGAATCAGAAAAACAGAAATTGCTAGAAAAGCTCTGCAGGTCTGGCAGCATCTCTGATTAACCCTGATTTCTCTCCACCGATGCTGCCGGACCTGGTGGGCTTTTCCAGCAATTTCTGTTTTTCTTTCTGATTTACACCATCCACAGGTTCTTTCAGTCTTTACTTTGTTTGAGTTTTGAATCCTTTTTTATGGTTATGTTTTATATCTAATATGCAACTGCAGCATGTTACTATTTGCTCCCCATTTCTTTTTTTCCTGTTTGTCTCTGGAGATAATTGTTTATTTTGGTTGCATGGGCATCAACAGCCCTCCTGTACCTTCCCTCCATCTGTGAGCCTGGCAGGCTGTTCAGCATTGTATCAGAGCTTGATTCTGCTCTCACCCAACATTTGCAATATCAATAGGGGGCCACAAGATAACAATTGGGAATTGCAATCCTGACTGTATCATCTCAAATCTAGAGATGCTGAGATCAATTGTAGCCACCCACTCTGACTAAGGCTTGCTAACTCAGCACAGTCTACATTTCTCGTGCAGAAGCACACTGCCAAAACAGAAGCTTGCTTCCAGAATACGTTATATGGTCTGAAACCGCAGTTGGTGATGCAGACTGTTGACCTGTTAATACCCGCACTAAACAACCAAAGTGCAACGACAATATTATAGCTCAGTAAATCTACATGACCACAAGTTGAGTCTTGCTGGAGATAAGTGGGTTTGAGGTGTTGTTTTATCTGTGCATACATTCAGTCTAATCACTCACTTTATTTCATTTTCAGTTTTCTCGAGAATCAAACTCCTCAATGAAGTCAAACGCTTCCCTGGTGAGGGTGGCAAGGCTATCTTCCAGTGGCACACTCATGTTGGCAGGTGTTGTGGAGTTTGAACTACCAATGGATCCAAAATGGGAATTCCACAGAGATAAGTAAGTATGATGGGGAGAACGAGGTAGGCAGACAAATACCAAACTTCAAAACTTGTAATTAGGGCAGACTGCAGACAGTGCTTACATAGAAAAGCCTACATAAAACATGAACCAAACAATCTTCCAAATGATCTTGTGCTGACAAAGCGGTTCCAGGGAATCTAAAATCATGTTAAATAGCCAATGTTAGGAGCCTGGTTTTTCCTCTCACAATAATTGCTGCTGTCTGTGTTTCTGAAAATGTATTCAGAAGGTTCACTATGTAGAAAATAATGTTTAAAGAATTCAAACAGTCTGCCTTAAAGTTAAGTAAAAGGTTAACAACCATATTTTAAGTAACCTCTGAAATTACTGTTCCATTTTCAGACTAGTATTGGGGAAACCCCTTGGAGAGGGTTGCTTTGGACAGGTGGTTAAAGCAGAAGCTTATGGGATTGATAAGGACAATCCGGATAAAGCAGTTACAGTGGCAGTGAAATCACTGAAAGGTGAGCAAAACCTTCTATTTCAAAATGTTTTTTTTGTTGACTCCAGTAGGAAACCAGTAGCCCAGTTTAATCTCTAATTTAAATCCCAGTAGGAGAATTAATCATTCAACCTGCCATAATAGGATATTTCAAACACCTCTCAGTGACTGCTGTCTGATTGATCTCAGGTGGAAAACTGGGGATACAGCAGTCAGGTCACTAGACCAGTAATCCAGGAGCCAATGCTCTGTAGACGTGGGTTCAAAACTCATTAAGACAGCTGGTAGAATTCGAATTCAGTTAATAAATCTGGAAATATAAAGCTGGTCTCAGTGAATGGTGACCACAATAACTATCATTGATTGTTGTAAAAAAAAACCACCTTGTTCTCTAATCTCCTTTAGGCAAGGAAATCTGCCAACCTTACCTGGTCTGGCTTATATGTGACTCCAGACCCACAGCAAATCGAATGACTCTTAACTTCCCTCTAAAATGGTCTAACAAACTGTGCAGTACAGGGGTAAATATGGGTGTGTTACAAATGCTGGCCTTGCCTGAGATGCCCATATCATATGGAAAAAAAGAAAAAAAATCATACTTACTTCCATTTGTTGAAATTAACCTGAAGGGAACTTTAATTATAACATGTTAAATTCTCATCTAGATGATGCTACAGAAAAAGACCTCGCAGATCTTATCTCAGAAATGGAGATGATGAAGATGATGGATAAGCATAAAAATATAATTAACTTGTTGGGTGCCTGCACACAAGATGGTGAGTGTGTATAGTGGGTGTAGATACCTAAGAACAGCAAAGAAATTGTCAGTATTTTTAACTAATGTTAAGAAACCAGTGGTGCACTGTTACATGATCCATTGTTATACAACATAGTGGTGCACAAAAAACCGTGGTGTACATCTAATGTTCAGGAATGCACAATGCTATAATGTACAAATACAATAGTGTGAGATATACTGCAACATCACCCATTGCAATCTCATTCTGACAATGAAATTCACATGACATGATGCTCTGATATATTAGAGTAAACACTTGTACACATCAGAATACTCATATATGAGTATATTATATATTATATATTATATTATAGCAACAATCAAATATACTGGATTCTACTAACTGCCTATGGTGGGAGATTTTCCCAGCATTGTTGCTGGTCACTTTAACAAAGGACTGAAAATTTCCACCAACATTCAAAGCACTGGCCCAGGGCAGCCCTCAGCAGATCTTTGCTTTTGGAGATTGTGCAAACCCTGGGCTAGAGAGATTTTGGAAAAACCAACAAGAGTTTCCACTCTGCAGTACCATCTGGCGATGCACAAAGAAATGAGCATGTGTCTGCATTGTGAATAGATTCATGTGGGCTTGATAGTTGTCTTGATCAAATAGCTTGCTAAAATTGACTTACTTTGAAGAGTGGACACTTTGCTGAGGACATGTATAGTATCACGTTGTGTGTAAGGTTTATATAAAGGCAGCTAATTCGGAGGACATTGATCCTGTATCATGGGTACAACATGCAAAATGGCGACAAGAAAACTTCACTGGGACGCCATGAAAGATATAGTCATGCCAATGTGTTCTGAGAGTTCAGTGTTTAAATCTGCTGTTCATACCCTAGGTTTGCTGTATGTAATAGTGGAATATGCAGCGAAAGGCAATTTACGGGAATACCTCAGGGCCAGGCGGCCACCTGGTATGGATTACAACTTTCACATCACAAAGGTGCCTGAAGAACAGCTAACCTTTAAAGACCTGGTGTCTAGTGCCTACCAAGTGGCACGCGGCATGGAATATTTGGCATCTAAAAAGGTAAGTCATCTACTAGCCTAGCTTTCCATGTTGACTCAACAAGACAGATGTTTGTACGTAGTTTGTGTTGCTGAGGCCCATGTGGATTATCCATTTAACTTGGAGGGAATCTGGGTATGTGCATTGGTCCCTCGGGATAGGTGAAAGGTTATGTGAACTGAGCAATGTGGGAAGGGCACTGTCTTAGCTTTCCCATATTCTACGAAGAAGATGATAGTTCTAAAACAACATTCACTCCTTACAAGCAAGAGGGGAATGTGGCTCACATTACAATGACTTAGCAAGAGCAGCCATGAAGGACAGAGATTAGATTTTCCAGGCCTGACAGTTAGCTTTCCAGCATAATTTACATCTGACTGCTTACCACAGTAGAACTGCTGGACCGATGTTTTAGACACTCAGACTACAAATAAACAATTGTTAAAAGTGTCTAGTGGGCAATATATTGAGTAGCAATGTGCTGTGTTGAACAGGCATACACTATCTGTCTTTGTAATATTGTCACATTTTCCTTCTGCTACCATATGCCTTTATTTTCTATCATTTGGAAGCTTGTACTGTAACACAGAGATCTGAGTGCACTAACTATTTTGTTTTGATGCCTTTTGCAGTGTATCCATCGTGACTTGGCAGCCAGGAATGTGTTGGTAACTGAAGACAATGTAATGAAAATTGCTGATTTTGGTCTGGCGCGAGGAGTGAACAACATTGATTATTACAAGAAAACCACCAATGTAAGTATTAACATGCCCTAATAAGCACAGTTGGGGGTTGCACTTTTCTGGAATAAGTTAAACATAAAATACTATGAATCTACAGGGCTTCACTTACCCTCTTTGAATTCATTCTTCAGAGAGGTGAATCCATCAAGGACTGACATGAGACAAATAGAAACAGTGCAGAAGTGGCCATTCGGCCCATCAAATCTGCACCAACCTACCAAAGAGCATCCCACCCAGATGCAGCCCTCACTCTATCCCTGTAACCCAGTATTTACTATGGCTAAACTACCTAACCTGCACATCCCTGGACACTAGGAACAATTTAGCATGGCCAATCCAGCTATCCTGCATAACTTTAGACCGTGGGAGGAAACTGGAGCACCCGGTGGAAACCCATGCAGACACAGGGAGAATGTGTCAACTTCACACAGATAGTCACCCGAGGGTGGAATTGGACCTGGGTCCCTGGCGCTGTGAGGCCACATACAAACCACTGAGTCGCTGTGCTGCCCTAGATTGGAGATTCATTCAGGAATGCCAAAACATACACTGGGGAGTGAAAAAGCAATTGACTAACTGAGAACTGAAAGGATCTGACATGATTTTAGGACTAAAGCAAAATGTAAGCTTATGTTGAATACAAATGTAACAAACTTTAAATGAGGTAGGAAATAAGAACCTTCCCACCAACTAAAACATAGACTCAGTTAAACAATATCAGTTATAGGAATGCCAGTGACCTGAAAAGTAGTAAGGAAACTCACTTTACATGCAAGCAAAGCCACAATGTGTTCTACCTGAGACAGGTGGGTCAGCTCAGCAGGAAGCAGTACACACAGCATGCTAGCTCTGGGATCTCCCCAAATCCATAAACCTTGTTTTAATTTATGTTTATTTGAATAGAGTTCCCATAAATTAGGAAAACTCTTGGAGTATTCTGCATACTAATAAAACCACATCTACATCAGAAATGAGAAAAGAAGCAAATACAAATAAATTCAGAAATTTAAACTAAGTTACATCCTCTGGTCAGTTCCTGTACATATACTGTGTTGGCATGGTTGAAACCTTGATTCATGAGCCTGTGGCTGACAATTTATCGTTGATGTCAATGTGAAAGTGCATTGACTTTGTCCAAAGGAGATATTAGGCTCACTAATGGTGACTTTGATGTTTCATTCCAGGGTCGCTTGCCAGTAAAGTGGATGGCACCAGAGGCCTTGTTCGACAGAGTGTACACACACCAGAGTGATGTGTAAGTACTGATCATGTTTAAGTGCGCTTAAGTATTGGCTTTCTTTTGACTGAGTATGAGCAGGTTGTACTGAATGTAAGACAGTTAGTTTAGATGATTGAAAGGAGCCTCCCAGGCATTGTGGTTACGCCTTCTACTGAAGAGATTGACATTCTGTCAAAATATTAATATGCTTTACTGATTAAGGCTCGAATTTAACTTCTGATTTAATTCATCCTGGATATGATAAATTTTATGGGATCCACTGCAGTTGAAGAGACCTCTTCAAGATACTATATAGTGTGGGTGTGAGTGTTAAACATGTTGTATGTGTTAAACATGTATGTGTTAAACATGTTGTATGTCCTGCCTCAATAAGAGGAACAGAACAAATGCACTGCTATCCGTTTGTTACATACCTCTGTTTAGTTGAGGCAAGATCACCCGAACCACTTGCTAAATGTCATTCGGCGGGCAAGCTGGGATATTCTGAATCAATCTTCTATCATACATTATTCTAAAGTGGGGGAAAGGAGACGGTTCAGAATCCATGCTCTCCATCACAAAAGCAGCTTGGCAAGTGAGAAATCTGAGTCACTCAGTACTGATTGTAGAAGCAATGCCTGCAGCTAACAACAAGAAACAAACCAGATGGTACAGTATTAGAGGCAGTACAGAGTAATGTTGCAAAACATGTTAAAGGTCTAGAAAGAGTTAACCCAGAAATTAACTTCAAACTAATCTATGAGAAGAAATCTAGGGGACATGGTTTCCAACTGGAGAAAAAGTATTTTAAATGTGTTCTTTAAATATATCTCCACATGAAAGGTTCTTAAAAAAGTAATGAAAACAAAACCTTGGAATGTTTTAAGCAACAATTAAATACTACGAAGGGTGAATGGTTGGATGAATGCAAATGGAACAAATGGCTTCCTTCGCCATCTGCAATTATCTTGTAATCCCATGAAATAAATTAGGTTTAGTTTAAATTGTGCTGAATCATGAACAGTTTGATTAATTCAGCCTTGCTATATGAAAATAAAATTGCACTAGATGCTGTTCTATGAGTTTCAAGAAAACCTATTGTTGCTCATTTATAAGTTCTCTCAATCACAATCCTGATGACTATTCCATTGAGTGTTTTCAAGTAACTAGATAACGGAGTGATTAACATGAATGCTTGGTTTGTTCCCACCCCAATGCAGGTGGTCATTTGGGGTCTTAATGTGGGAGATCTTCACACTTGGTGGCTCTCCCTATCCAGGAATCCCTGTTGAAGAGCTCTTCAAACTTCTCAAGGAGGGTCATCGAATGGACAAACCATCCAACTGTACACATGAGCTGTAAGTAATCTATTTGCATTGTACTTGGTTCTACATGTGAACTTATTACATTTTTCATTTCACTTCCAGTTATTAGTTATTTTTTAAAATGCAGATTCTACAATCCCAGTGTCCTTTGTGAACACTGCTCCCCATTGCGAATGTGAAATTGACAGCTGATGACAGTATGAAGAGTAGGAAAAGCTTAGAAATGATTGTTTATTAAATGCCATTAGTAACAACTTAAAAACAACTTAACATAACAGTGAAAATACATTAGGTAGTTCTAACCAGAACTCCATTGTAACAGTGTCTTTGATCTATCAACATGTTAAGGCAGCAGCTGTAGTCAAGTATTGTGCCTGAAGACTTAAAGACCACACTCAGTAAATGTATTGGGTAGTACAGGCATTTCATAAGGGCTGATTATGTGTGTCTTGGGATAACTTGGTGGCTGCAAAATTCCATTGCATTATTGGACGCAGCACTAAAGAAGACAAAGCAACTGAAAACGGTGGACCCACCAATTCTCAGTCTTAGAACATAGAACATAGAACATTACAGCGCAGTACAGGCCCTTCGCCCCTCGATGTTGCGCCAACCTGTGAAACCAATCTGAAGCCCATCTAACCTAAACTATTCCATTA